CAACTTCTAATTCAAGTAAGTATCTTGTTGATATTGTTCTTCAGGCTCACGACTCTTTTGAGTGCTTTATTCCTGCACTAGAGGGAGTAGAGTATTAAACATAAGTGTAAGCATGGTGCTTAGACTTAGGTTAATCGTGGATGCACCTTGCATTCCGGATCAGTAGTAGATCGCGTGTGTGACATCAGTAATATATAGCATCGTACTATATAGCATCGTTGATCCTTTGTATTCCACCTCCCGTCAGTAGGCGCACGTATGACTCGGTTACTAAGGAAAGCATCCTCTATTGGTGTCTTTTCTTAAGTAATGTCTCTATTTGAACAGTAGAAGACATGAGCTTACCTAAGTCAGAACTAGAGACCCTTAATTATCCCCTCTATGCTCCTATTTATCCTAACCTTGTTGCTACTCCTAGTTAAATTAACCCCTAACCTAATCATTACCCCTTGTTAAGTTAGGCCTTAATTAGTCTCACACGTTTCCCTGTGGATACAATACTTCGAATACTTCCAGGTGAAAGCTATAGCGGTATCCATGCGCTTGCGGATTTATCTGTGTGCGTTAAAATGTACCAACAGTCATTTTGTGTAGTAGTGTAGAACTAAAATCATTTTTTCTAATGTAATGATTGGTGTGGACGTGGTAGATCTAGCACATGCCACGTCGTTAAATAAGAATCTGATACATGGACAAACCATTGAATGACACGTTTAAGTGCTAGGACAGGACACGTGGGCCAATACAAACCAAATACGTGGTATAAATCCGTCCTGCCATGTGGTCGAATAAAAAAAAGACGCATGGGTAGCTCAGGGCGTGACACGTGGCTCAATAAAACACTGACACGCGGACATACAACATCATGACACGTGGTCGACTAAAAGAAAGACACGCAGGGTATTGTGGCCATGCCACGTGGACCAATAAAAATGCGACACATGGTCCAATGAAGAAGTGACACCTGCTCCAACAGAAATGTGACACGTGTGCCAATAAAAACCTGACAAGTGGAACAATTGGGACCTGACATATGGTCCAGTTAGATCCTAAAACATGCAAGGACAAGAGAGGGCCACGTTGTGCAATAAAAAGGTGACATGTGACCCGAACCATCAACAATGCAATCGGCTATAGCATGTACACGTGGAAAGCATCTCCAACAGAAGCACCTACCAGCATGGCTACCCCCTGCCACGCATGCCAAAATAATTCTATGACGGTCAGTTTTTTGTCACAAAACAAGCTACTTCTATAGTTCTATGATGAGTTTCTAGGTTTGTCATAGAAGTTCAAGTATGACACGACTTCTATGACGAGACATTTTTTGTCATAAATTCATCAAAAAAAACTAAAATTATGATGAATTTAGCTTCTTCAGTGACGAAAGTTGTTCATCATGAAAGCGCAGATTACTAGTAGTGTCGGTGACTGCCACGATAAGTTCATCGTTGCAGATGTTGTTTTCATCGGCAGACGGCCAATTTGTGTCCATTATCTGCAAAGAGAGGGGTGCTCCTGAGCACTCCCAACGAGGACGGTTACTCCGGGTTATCGATCTCATCGTCGATGGTCGCACGAAATCAAGGATTGAAGGTAATAAATCTGCATCCTATGTTATACCCAACTATGCAACTGTTGATAATCTTTCATCGTCTCAGATACGTTTTGGACTGTGTCCAGAACATTGGATCTTGTGGCATGTCCAATGTTTTGGGGTTGACCGATAAGGATTGCACTCTAGCTTCGGTGTTCAACAAGCCTTTGCTCATCTAGAGCATCGACTGCATCGAAAAAACCACTAGAGAAGAAGATGATGGGAGAATCAAGATGGACTATTGTATACAACTTATGCATTTATCCTTCTAGGAATTCTCGAAGCTCTAGCACCTTGAAAGATTAGTCCATCCGAAACTTAATGTTACGTCAAGTGACAAGTCACATGATTTTTCATGCACGTGTGGTCGTGTTGATTTTTCGTGCACGAGTGGTCATGGAGGCTTGAACTTATGACCTTAGGCCTCTGTGTACCAGAAATATTCCCCTCGTATTACTTTTACTAGATTTTAAAATGAATATTTGAGACCCTAAATGAATTCAGATGAAAAAGGTCTGAACTACAAAGCTGTAGATATTGTTGAGTACTACTACTTTTTTTTGTCATTTCTCCATCCGAGATCCTTTGAAAATTTTTAATTTTAAAATATGAGAAACCGAAATATAATTTTCTTTAGAAAAACGATTTCAAGTGAAAAAGTTGTCAACTACAAAGTTATATAGCTCTTTGAAATCTACAACTTTGATTTTTATCATTTTTCCATCTAAATTCACATCAAAATGTGAGGTTTTCAAACTAAATTTTGGGACCATAGATTATTTTAAATGAAAAGATTGTCAACTGCGGTGTTTTAGATCTTTTTGTAATCTATAACTTCTTTTAGCATTTCTCCATCGAAGGTTATTTTAAAATTCAAAAAAAATATTTAAAAATATGAGAACTTCAAAAAGAATTTGTGGGATATAAATGATTGTAAATGAAAAAGTTGTCAACTACAAATTTGTAGATCTCTTGAGAGCAAAATGTAGCATGGGTCCTTGAACTTTTCATGGATTCTTACTTAGGTTCTCGAACTAAAAAGGTGATCATTTAGGTCATCAATCTATTGTGGATTCTCACCTAAATTCTCTAACTAAAAGAATGACCATTTAGGTTCTTCAACTAATGTCGCGATCAAGTAAAGGTCCAAATCCCATCACATCAATTCTATATGTCTACATGGTTGTGTCAGTGTGGATGAGGCACAGTGAAACTCGCAGAAAAAACCCTCGCTCCCCCCTCTCCTCCATGTCCACTCGCTCTGTCTCCCGTTGGTCTCACCTGCCTCGCGGATGAGCTCGTGTGCTCGCCTGCACAATGATCATGGATAGACAAAGAGAGGTGGGTTGCAAGAGAGGGGGACTGCAATAGGAGAGATATGGTGATGGATTTTTTTTTTTTTGCAACTTTAACTAGCATGGCCACGTAGACAGTTGGCAGTGGCATGGCAGGTTTTGGATCTTTAGTCGAGGCAACAGTAGATTAAGGATCCAGATGGTCACTTTTTTAGTTTAAGGATCCAAGTGAGAATTAGCAATAGATTGAGCATCCAGGTGGTCACCTTTTTAGTTCAAGGACTCAACTGGGAATCCATAAAAAGTTTAATAAGGACCCAAGGTGTATTTTACTGTGATATAAAATTTTCATTCATCCGACTTTATTTGAAAAAGCTATAAAATTTACTATGCTGCACCAATTTTTAGAGACGGTATAACCACCTCTAGAAATTAATTTATAAAGACAGATATAGATCCAACGGCCTCTAGAAATCAATTTGTAGAGGCGTGTCTAGATCTAGCTGCCTCTAAAAATAGGAGCATTTCTCGAGGCGGCTGTAAATCCCATCTATCTCTAAAATTTGATTATTAAGAGCATGTGGGCTTGGGAACTATTTTTAGAGGCGGATTTGATTGAGGCTCCTCTACTGAAAAAATACCTCCGTTGCTAAACTCATTTGTGTAGTAGTATAGGTCACCGAAGAGTGATTCTCTTAATTAGCTAAGGAATGAAGCTGCGTATTTAATTCTTTATCTGAAAAAGGTTCCACGCACGATCTTCCTTTTAAGAGCAACTCCAACAGCCTTTGTATAATGCTCCTTAAAACCGGGTTTGACGATTATTGGCCAAAAAACACTTCCAACAGCTCTTGTATCCTGTTTTCTTTTTTCCTCCAAGCGCTATCCCGGCTGTCTCGCTGGCTATCTTTTGCGAGCCGTGCCTGCTGGCCATCTACGGCTTCCATGCATGGTTTTCTCTCCCATGCGCCTAACTCTCCTGTGATTGGCTAGCACATGTGATCCCATCCTATTTCAAGCGCCAGGAATAAGTCAAGTAGGTGAAAATTGATGGCAGTTACTTGATGTGGCCAACTTTTTGAATATAGAGGATGGAAAATAGCTAAGCTGTTGTAGATCTCTTCTCTTTTGAGGATTTTTGTATTTTACATAATGGCTAAACTGTGAAATTGGGCTACTAATTTTAGATGAACTCTTGGAGTTGCTCTAAGCACGGTAACACCTGTTTGTAGCTCAGACACAAAACCTGTGGCTCTTTTTTTAAACAAATTAGGCAAGAGAGAACTGCCAATTATATTAAAAAGAAGAAACCCAGACTGGACAATCCTGACGACAACAACAAAAACAACAAAGAAAGCAAGCAACCTAAAGCAACAACCTAGGTAAACGACAAGACAATGACAATTAAAGATAACAACAAAAGAAAGGCTCGACAATATCAACAAAGTCTAGTGAAAGATCTTCACCACAGCATCCCAGAATGCATGCCCATTTCTACGCACGAGTGACTCAAGGAGATCCGGAGGTAACAATTCTTTCATGCACTCCGCATATTCTTGAATTGCATCGTTATTTTGTTTCCCGTCATTCTTTAACAATCCCCAATCTTTTTAGAACTTTGTGTTTGGCAGGGCGGGCGCTTCGGCGAACTTGCGATTTGTGATAAGACTTGCATCGTCGTCTCATGAGTGTTGTTATCGGTGGTGGGAGGTTTACGGGAGGGCTTGTACAATCCTCCATCTTCATGTCGATGATGTCCACGTGGGGCGTCACCTCTGTCAGTGGATCGTTTGGTGCCTTGGGTTCTTCTACCTTGATCTCATCGGCACACTGAGTGGATTCGTCTACTGCTATGATGGCAATAATAGAGCCCTCATTTATGCTATCCGTGTCTATGGCTCGTGATCATGAATTATTTTCGCATATATCACGCATGCATTGCACATCACAGTAAGTATTGGAAAAGAAAAACATAATACAGCAGTCGATCTTTTTTAACTTCGAGGGACTCAAATCCTTAACCATCATCGTGCATGCAGAGGCGCAGACCGCAGAGTAGATCGAGTGGGACAACAAAACAAGTCAACTAACACCGACAATTCCAAGCTTCACTCCCGTGCGACGGCAACCACCTGCTTGCCGATGTTGCGGCCGGAGAAGAGGCCCACGAGTGCTGCCGGCGCCGCCTCGATCCCCTCGGCGATGTCCTCCACGGAGACCACCTTCCCTTCCTTGAGGTACCCCGCCATCTTCTCCTCGAAACGCTGGCGGTACTCGCCGCCGTAGTCGCCCACTAGGAACCCTTCCATGCGGAGGCGCTTCCCGACGAGCTGGAAGAGGTCTGGCGCGCCGTCCGGCCGCTGGAGGTTGTACTGCGACACCTGCCCGCACACGGCGATCCGGCCATACGGCCGCATGTTGCGCAGCACGGCCTCCAGCATTGCGCCGCCCACGTTCTCGAAATACACGTCGATGCCCTCAGGGAAGCACCTGTAGTGTAGGACGGTTAATTAAAAGAAAACAGACGTTCATATATACTGTAACCTTGCACTGTGTGAACATACAAAATGGAAGTGAAACATAAGTACAGGTTTGATGGTTTTGTAAACCTCTTCAAGGCAGCGTCGAGGTCCAGTTCCTTCTTGTAATTGAAAGCGTCGTCGAAGCCAAACTTTGTCATCAACAGATTGACCTGAAGATGCGCAGCAGTAGCAGTATTATTATTTTTTTTTGTAATTGTTCATCCAAATTTAATGTAACAGAACAAGTGCTTGTATTTCGTGACATATATATAGAGGAAGATCATGGAACAAAGATCGCGATCTAGTTGACTTTGCTCTCCTCTTACCAAATTACAAAAAAGAATTGAGTATACTGGTACCTTGTGATCAGAGCCAGCACTGCCGACAACATAGCAGCCTGCGACCTTTGCAAGCTGCCCAACGATCTGACCAACGGCGCCTGATGCCGCTGAGACGAAGACATACTCGCCTTTCTTTGCCTTGGCCACTTCAAAAAGCCCAGCATGTGCGGTGATCCCCGGCACGCCTGAAATATTCATGAGTTGCTGTAACACATCTAATCAAAGTGAACTTGGCACTAGAGTAACAAGAAAACATGCAGTGGACTGGTACAGAGAGAAATGAAACGGCCATTCCGGTTGTTCAACTGAGAGGAAAAGACGTACGAGGAATTTCAAAAAAAAAATGGCAACTTAATTGTTACTCCCTCCGTTACGAATTAAAGGTCACCTATCCTAGTCATAAGTTACGCTATTTTTGCGTGAAATATGAGTGTGTGCGGTTGCGGAGATCGAACTCAAGAACTCCTGATTTGCACGTTGCTTCACTGTACACCTCAAAATTATTTTGTGACCGAGTAGCTGATATATTTCTATTCTATCTATTTGTAGGAGCAGCTGGTATTTTTTAGTCGCCTCCATAACATCATTTTCTGAAAGGAGCTACCTCTAAAAATAAATTTGTAGAGATAGATGTTATTTTTAGCCATCTTTACATATGTCCTTTTTTTTTAAGAGGCAACTCTAGATCCAACCGCCTTAACAAATCCATTTCTAGAGACGGTTAGATCTAGAGCTGTCTCTAAAAAATTATTTGTAGAGGTGGCCTAGAGTCGTTTCTAAAAATAGGTGCAGCATGGTGAAATTTATAACTTTTGTAAATGAAGTCAGACAAAGATAATTTTATCAAAGCTATATAACTCATCGAGATCTACAACATTATAATTGACAATATTTTCATTTGAAATCATTTGGTTTTCACAATTCTGCTTGAAGTTCTCACATTTTTTACATTCAAATTTTTTGAAGTTTTCAAACGATCTTGGATGGAGAAATGACTACAACCAAAGTTATACATCTCGAAAAGATATAAAATAGAACAATTGATAACTTTTTCATTTGAAATAATCTATGGTCCCAAAATTTAGTTTAAATATCTCACATATTGTAATTCAAAACTTTCAAACGACCTCAGACAGAGAAACGACAAAAACCAAAGTTGTAGATCTTGAAGAGGTATACAACTTTATAGTTGATAACTTTTTTATTTGAGATCATTTATCGAAGGAAAATTATGTTTGATTTTTTTAAATGACCTCGGATGGAGAAATGACAAAAACTAAAGTTTTAGGACTTAATGACATCTATAATTTTGCAGTTGAAGCCTTTTTATTTGAATTCATTTAGGTGTCAAAGTCTAATTTAAAAATTAGGTAAAGTGAATACGAGGGAATGTTTGTGCCGTCTAATCACAAATGACTTTAGCATAGATTGATAGCGCAATTACACGTGAGACCTGAGGTCCTAGGTTGGAACCCCTAGGGTCGCATGCACGAAAAAACGTGGGAATTGCATGCGGCTGTCCAATTTTATATGCATGACAATACTAGAGATAATTGATATATGGATATTTTTTTCTTAAAACAAATACAGAAGAGATAAGAGACTTGCTTATGATTTTATCTTTTTGCTTAGTTTCGCATTTCCCTATTTATATGATCAGAGACTTTGCTATTTAGCTGGATGACTTTGTAAGATTTGGTTGTTTATGGTCGCAGAGGCCCGAATTGTTCCATTCAAAAAAATGTTACTACTTATTAACTCGATGAAGCACTCACCTAGAACACCGGTGTAATAGGAGAGTGGAAATTCGGGGTGATTAATCTTGTGGTAGACTTTTGGGTTGGTGATCAAGCTGTACTCTTCCCACCCAGTCAAAAGACACAAAAGATCGCCGGGCTTGAAATCCGGGTGCCCAGAGACCATCACCTTGCTCACAGCCCAGTTATCCAGAACCTGACAGTATGTGTCAACGGAACAATCAGATTATTGCATCAAGCCTTCCAGTTTCAACGGAAACGAGCAGTTAATATTAAATATAATAATACTGAACACAGTGCTCTAAGCTTGGAGCGAGATTAATAATGTAGCATGCTGTTGGTTGTATAGATCTTTGCAGCCTATCTCTTAGCCCACCTATATAATAGTTAACTCTCTACTATTATTACATGACTCACTTTAATTTTTCACAATATTTTTTATTTTTGTGCATAAGCTGGCTGTAAGTTTAAAGCCCGCTTTCATCCTTTCTCCTCTTCTTTTTCCTTCACCTCAGCATTCAGCCCACCTACTGCCTGCTATTATACGCTCTTAGAAGGCACAATATTTTTTTTTTTGAAACAGCAAGTACAATAAGTGGCTTAGAGCCAAGCAAATGTTGATGTGGATGAGAGAAGAGCTTGACTCTTATGCAAGCAATAAGCTGGGCACGAAAGTATAGGCAGTGGTAGACCCATGTATTAAGTGAATGAGAGGAGGACTAGGAAAGAGAATATGAGCTATAAGTAAAAGCAACAATAAAAAAGTTTTTTATAGACAAATAAGAAACTCATTATTATATGGCTTGGCTAATAGCCAAACATTTGGTCCTATTAGGGCATTCCCAATACAGTGTCTATGTGTAGTTTCTCGAGGAGGGAAAGTATGATTTAGACCCAACCTTCCCAATGCACAGTTTCTACAAATAGTTTCTATAGAAAAGAAATTTAATGAACATTTATGCAATACAAACAAACATCGATCACTTGTGCCAAGCAACCTATAGCCTTTCCTAATGCACTGTATTTCTATATATCAAAGCAGGAGAGTTTGGCTGCCGCTCAGGGTGGCCACGTCGCCCCCTCGTTTATAGTCGTAGGATCTTCGCTTCAACATGCAGATTTCGTTGCATCTACTGTTCTGGTCTGCATGTTATGGAGCCTTCGTTCATTCATTTACTCTCTCTCTCGTTACTGTGCCTGTCCTCATCCTCTCGCCTGTACGCTCCCACCCTCGCTCCCGAGTCACCACGCGACTGAGGTGACGGCGCGGGCCGACCTCAGCGGTGGCTGGCCCTCCGCGTGGCCGCGGCCACACTCCTCCTCCTCGCGACACAAGGCAGCGGGACTCGCGGCCTAGGGTTTGGCCCCTCCGTCGCCAGTCGTCCCCACGGCCGCGCGGGCAGCCAACTGAGGCCCTGACGCGCCGGACCGCTCTGGCAGCGGAGGGACCTCCGTGGTGGGCGTGGATGACGACGGGGAGGTCACGTCAGCAACCTCGGCGGTGGATCTGAAGCGGCCGCTCGTGGGGCCCCTCCCGGCGGCGGATCTGAAGCTGGAGCGTGGCCTGGACCTCGCGCCGGCAACGGAGGCGGTCGATCTGCGCCGAGCAGGCGGATCCAGCGCGAGGCCTCCCGGTCTCCACTGGATCCGGCTGCATGGGCTCCACCGTCGCGCTGGACGGTGCCACACGTCCGCGAGCTGGCCTCCGCTGTGCCTGCCACCCTGTCGCAGCTTTGTCCCGCAGGTTCACCTCTCCTCGTGTGCCGCGCTGGCGGGGCGACAGTGCCCCAGGCCTGTTGCGCAGCGTCACGCGTAGGCCCCCACGGTGGGCGGCCCGATGGCGGTGGACGTCCTCGGCCACGGAGCGGCACGACAGGCCCATGCCGGTAGCCGCCGCCGCTGCTTCCCCCGCGCTGCCCCTCCCCGCCGCTCCGCATGTGCTCCACTAAATGGTTGGATTTCTCCGCTCTCCATTCAATCTATGCAGTGAATCGGGTGAAAAAATTTTCCTTTATCTTCTTTCCTTCCTTGCCGGCGTGCATGAGGGCGCGCGTGATGAACTAAGTCTGAATAAAATCAGTACTTATAGGCAGTCCGTGGAACATCTTCTGTGCATCATGTACTTCAGCAAAGATTTTTTAAAACGAACTTCACAAGCTTATTGCTCACAAGAGTCCAGGAGCTGGACGTGAGCAAAGCCTCCCGTAGTCGCACATGTACAGGGCAAGCGTGGCGTTGCTGAAGCCGAAGTCTGTCGAGCAGGAATGACGCAAACATGGTCAGTTCACCGTCGACCGAGCGGCCAGCCTAGCTCGAGGACACCCTTCACCACTACCTCGTCCAGCACTCCAGCGCCTTCTGCCACATGTCTCCACGGCCACGCGAGACCGGGCCACGACGGGGGACGCCCCCCGCGTCGTCTCCCTCACGCCAGGCGACTCGAGGGCGACTCGCCCGGCCAGCTAGCCTCCACTCCCCTCCGGCCAACTCGGCCGCTGCTGCCGCGGCTCCTTGACATCCGCGGCCATGGCGGCTGCGGCCAGCGGACGTGTGCTCAACAAGGCTCTTCTCCGCGTGCTTCTTCTCCACCGCTTCCTATTTTCTCTCCAATTTCAAATCTCTTCCAAATCTTCGTTTGATCATGCTCTGGCCAGATCCGTACTTCTAATGGGCGCCGGCGGCGGCTGTGTTCGGGCAGTGGCTGGCCGGGGCCAGCCCACGGCGGCCGGATGTGGAGTGGCTGGCCGAGGCTCTGGCCGGCCGTGGCGACCGAGCGCACGCCAGCGTCGGCTCCGGATCCGGGGCGCTGCAGATCAAGCTAGGCGCTGTGCCGCGGTCGGCAACGCCCAAGCTCCGTGCGGTGGACGTACTGCTTCCGGAGCGGCGCGGTGGACACCGGTGCTGACCACCGAGTTCACGATCTTAGAGTTCACGATCTTAGAGTTGGCTTAGCTTTATAGGTGAGGGTTCTCCCGCCTTATACGTTGATTTTTTATCAGGTTTAGCTTTTCTGACCATGGACTCATAATACCAATTATTGGAACCGGTGGTGATCACCGAGTTCACGATCTTGGAGCTGGCTTACAGCCGGCCCGGTAGCTTTTCTGACCATGGGCTCATGATACCAATTGTTGGAATCGGTGGTGACCAACCGAGTTGACGATCTTGGAGCTGGCTTACAGCCGGCCCGGCTCGTTACCACGAGCCTGTGCTCCCACAGGTCCCAGGTCCACCGGAGCTGACAACATATAAGGCTTTGGGCCTTCTCAACCCAAAAGACTAACCTTATAGGTGAGAGTTCTCCCGTCTTATATATTGTGCTCCTCTACCATCGCTACACGATGTGGGACTAAACACCGACATCCTCCGTGCTGCTTTTGCCGGCGACGAGCTGCCGCTCTGCTCTTGTGCGGAGCGGCACCCACGGACCTCGATGGAGGATAGGCACCGTGGAGGCGCACGAACAGGAGGCTGCCTCGGCCAGATCCGACGGTCCTCGCCCTGGATCCGGTGCCACCGGCACCGGCGGGCGCGGTGCCGCTGTGCGCGCGCGGCCAGGTCGCGGGAACTACTACGGTACTGCCGTAGACAAATCTTAACATATTCAAAGCACATATGTACATATACCACCCCTAAGCTAAGCTAGATGACTAGACGAAAACTTATTTCCATGTGATCAATGAGAGGTTAGCACATATATAAACCGTAGGTACCTCCCCTGGGACGAAATCCGGGACGAAGCTTGGCTGGTCGTGCCTCGACATGCGGGTGCGCATGTAGGGGTCACACGAGAGGTAGAGGTTCTTGACCACGATGGCCGCCGACCCGGGCAGCACGACCAGGCGCAGGGTGCCGACGACGACCTCCATGTCCTCCTCCGTGGGGCACCCTGTGACGTAGCGCTTCAGGATCACACGCCTGTTGGTCACCAGCTCCCCCTCCTCCGGTTCCGACGACGCCGCCGCCTCCACAGCTGCGTCCGGCGGCAGTGCTGCCATTTCTTCGTTGCTCGCTCTTTGGTATCAGTATCACTCCCCGCGCTATGGCTGTCTGTGCCTCTGCTCGATCGGTCCCTAATCTCCTCTGCTCATTTGACGTCTTCTTAAAGAGTTGGTACTTGGTACTATAGTGTGGATGTGGGCATGATGCTGAAGTTGGTAGTAGGCTCTATTTGTGGTGACTGGTGAGTACCACCAGTACCAATAATAGCTAGTGCTTGTTGTCACTCTACTTGTCAGTCGAGCGGTTGCTGTCTGTAGTAGGTGGGAGGGCCCTGATGTCTCTTGTTCAACACATACTACTGGTAGGTAGCGGCCGTCCTGGCTTAAGCGCACAGATCACACAGATCGTAACAAGCTTGGGTGAGCCTTCCATCAACGTAACGCGTGAGCCCAGGTCATTCATGTTCAAGGTCACCTTCTCCGAACGTGTTGGTGATGGTGTATCGGCCGCTATTAATTTGGTCGGACAATTGGCCGGCTGCCAGCAGGAAGGATTGACAACCCGTTCGGCTGCTCCACTTTTGGCTGATGTCAGCTGGACTGCTCCTACTGCTACAGTGCTCGAATCGGGTGGAATCAGTCCCCTGAATGGCCAGCAGCCGACCAGCTACAGTGCTGCATTTGAATTCAAAACAAAGGCACCGGTAACCAATCCAGTCAATTTACAAGTCATGGAAAGTTCATTTGTACAACAAGTTAATTACAGACACAACAAACAACTCATGCCATCCATTTCCAACACAAATCACAGTGCTATGATCGCACTGTAGAATCCTTTGTGCCATCTTCCTTCTTTTGCTGCACCAATCAAAGTGAGGCTGAAAGGCAATACATCGGAACTCATGCCATATTTTAGCATTTGAACCAAATGAACTTAGCACCTAAATGTCACAAAGTCATTTAAGTAACTGATCATGAGGACTCAGGACCACTGTAAAGTAGTGGATGGAGTTAAAATGTCAGGTACAAAATTGCTATTCAGAGGGTGGTCATCGGCAACTATTCCCCAGGTGCAGGTGCAGGCAATATATAACACACGATTTCCAACACAAATCACAGGAAAACAAAGATAGCCATGCAAAAGTCAGATACCCAACCTTCCATCTTCGTCATGGCATCTGAGAACATCAGCAGCGGTGGCACCTACAGAAGTAGCAATTTCCAAAGTGAACAGATCGCAACAAAGCATCCTTTCTCAAAGTTCTATAGCAACCAAATTACAATCTACAAAAGCTATTAGCAATTGCCACATAAACACAGGACAGCAAACAGGGGCGGAGCTATAAGCAAATGACCCGGTGCACTGTTTAAGTAGCATACACAATTCTTTTGAAACATATGGTGAGGCTGTTGATTGGCACAAAAAGAATTTACCCTGGTGCATGGGCACAAGGTAACTTCAACATTACATTGCCCCTGACAGCACTGACAGCAAATGGCCAAATCAAGGACTTGACAAACCACAATACCGGTAACCACATAACAAAACCTGAATGTGTTAGGGAGGTTAGCTCCCTAAACCTTAATGTGTAGAATGCCATGTTCAGCTCCCCCAGTTCAATGTTTTTAAAGATAAACTAAAAATGGTCAGGAGAAATGACCATGCAGGCAATCAAATATCTGAGTTTGACTATTACTTTGCCTTGAAATACTACTCTGTATTTTTTTCAAAATCCTCCAATGTCACGATACTATATAGTTTGTAGTTGAGTTGATCCTGACATCAAGATAACCTGACATTCATTTATTAACATATCCTTTTTAAAGCTGATTACACAGATATACTAAACAAGTAGAGTTTTTCCTTGAGAATTTGTTTGCAAAAGATCACCATTTTACCCAATGGTTTAGGCTTCACACATGTAAAATATTTGATCAGACTACTAGATCAATATTCACACCAAACTTTAGTAAGCTATCTAAGATAGATCACAAAAGAACATGTAAGGTATAGCCATAAACAAAAGCCAAGACTTACCCCAACGAGCAACTGCAGCCACTTTGGTCCCTTCACATGCTTCTGGACAAAAGGGATCCCTGTTCCAAAGAAACAACAAAACAATACAGTATCAATTTGTACCAACCTGGATGCTTACTAATCCAATCCCAAAACCAAACAAGTAACTGGAAGGTACCTGTCTGTGTTAACCCCGTGCACAGCACTGAGCAAAGCGCCGGCACCGGAGCCAGCCTACAACAACAGCACAAACAGGACAACAAATCGCACACAAGTTAGCAGCAATTTTAATAAAGCGGTGGCGCAAAGACAACATATATTGAAGAATAGTACAATGCATATCAAGGAAACAAAGAACTTCAACTAATACTATATATAAGTCTCACCAATTCCAAGATAGGTGTTCACACTAGCATATCTTGTAGTTCCTGTCAAGTTCTTGTTCTCACTGCAGCATTTACAAGCTTCTAACTGCCCCAGCTCGTGGCCACCTACAAAATTTAAAGTGAGTCTACATACCGGACAGTACTTAACTAGTCTCATAAACCTGAAGTGGTACATCTGAGCCACACATTTACATGACAGCACACAGTTTATTTGAATTCATGACAACACAGCACACATAGTTCACGATACAGGCCACATTACAACAATGGAAAGGAAACGAACAGACACCAGTTCAAACAAATCAACAGACATGAATTCAAATAAAACAAACCAAGGAAGCATCCAATTGCAAAGCAGCTGCAGATCCATCACACTACTGGTGGCCGAAACTGGTGGTCTCTGCTGCCTGCCTCCTCGATCCAGCTCCTTGTGTCCTGCAAATGGCATTGTTAGTGCACATACAGCATGTTTAAATTGTAGCAAGCACACAGCAGCCTTTGTGTACATACCTGTGCACTACATAGCCCATAGTCCCATGGCGATCCAATCTCGCACTTCTGACATGTCTTCACTTTCAACTGATGCCGCCCATGATGAGAGGTTGTAACCTACAGCCCTATGAATATTCCTCGCCGCAGCCCTTCATTCGTTTTCGCCCTCCACAAAATTGTGTAGAGCAAAACATGCAATTACCACCTTCACTTGCTTAGGTCTCACATAATTTGGGACTTCGGACAGAATGTGCCACCGAGCTTTTAGCTTCCCAAACGACTGTTCCACAACATTGCGAAGCCTTGAATGCTAATAGTTGAATTTCTCCATATATCCATCCGCCTCTCTGGCTCTGAAGTCATCCAGATGGTACCTTGTATTCCGATATGGCCCCAAATATCTTGCACGCACGGCGTATCCAGAGTCCACCAAGTAGTATCTTCCTGCAATTCATCAAGTCATTTCACCAATTACTCACAAAGGTACTCTTACAAACTGACAACATAGTCAACGATAATGCAATATTACCTGCTGGGGGATGCGGGTAATCTGGTCGCCCCATATAATATGTCAGAACCGACATGTCATGAGAAGACCCCGCCGATCCCGCACCAACATATGTGAAAAGCCCGTCCATGTCCACTATCCCTAACGCATTCATGGTAACTTCTTCTTTTCTATTCATGAAGTCCAACCATGACTTGCGACTAACTTGCACTTTGATGTGTGTTCCATCCAAAGCCCCTATGCACCCATCAAAGTAGGGTCTGAATTCGTCGAACCTAGGATGGATTTTTCTATACTCTGGATCCTTTACCGCAACAACCGTCTGGGCAAAGGAGTACATGGCATCTGCAACCTCACCCATCTTCTGACTAACTATGCCCATACCCCTCCCAAATCTTTGGGTTATCTGTCTAGTTGCCTGCTTTGTCGCACACACCCATAGGAACATAGCTAGTGACTCATACAACTCCATGTCTTGTGAACTACCCAGCCCATGATACTGCACTAACTCATTGTGCAACTTCATGAAAGAGTGAGGATACATCCGAAAGTTGTCAAAGCACTTACGTTCGTTCTGCAAATTTGCTTCCACCCATTGTCGCCCGGTCATGTCTTCGAATGGGCACTGAGGATTCGGCACATGAGTTTGCCTGGAACAAGCCACAGCAGCAAGCGCAGCTCCAAGACCCGCCAACTTGACTATTTTTGCCTTGAGTTTCTTCTTGGGGCCTCACTGGATGTTGTGCTCTCGTTGGACTGTTCGTCGGAATGTTCAGTGCTGCTCATTCTACAAAACATTTATGCAACATCAGTCACCGACGCTAATAACATTACTATCATAACATCAGTCACTGACACTAATAGTTGGACAAGGAAATACAAAACTATTTAAGCTCTAAAGACTCAAAAGCAGGTGGGTCACATTTCTTTTTTGGAACAGTGGATTTGAGATGTAACAGCTACTTAACTAGCTGAGGACCACAATTACAAAAGAATAGTTTAGAGCCAAATATACTTTTTTCATCCACTTGAGGTGAGAGTATAAAATATGGAGCAACCAGAGATCAGTTCTGCAAATCTGATGTGCCTATACAAAAGGAAGTCTAGGAGATCGACCGGAATGACTCTGTCAGCTATGTCAACAGATTATTTCTGATCAAGCTTAGGTTCATGTCTGATAAGAAATTATGCTGACTACAATTAATGAACTGAAGCCAGCAGTAACTGAAAGTGATATTCTGCAATTGAAATATACTCCAAAAATTGATAGCACCCAGTGAAGGCTTCAAAGGCCCAACCGTATCTCATCTTCTAATTTTTTTTGTACCATACAACCACGGCTAGCACCTAATAATAGACTGAGCTAGTGCCTCTTGTTAGGCTTTCAACTATCATCTCACTACACCATATAACAGCTTAGGTTTATCGTGTTTGTGTGTTTCATAAAATAATCATGGCAACAGCATTAAACTCCCACACTAGTCAATATGAGTACAGAAAATGAAAGTGGAAAAAGAAAGCAAGACTTGATTACAGATTTACAGTTCAATACCTGACAGCCTCCAACTTACTGGATAGTCAAATTTAGTCTTGCCACCCTTCTCAGGCTTCTTCACCTGTTGTCAAGTACAATAATGTCAAGCTTCCATGGAGG